TAGCCACGCCCACAGAACTGGTTGTTAAAATTTTTGAATCCCACTCCTGGGAGGAGGGGCTCTTGTTAGCTACTCACGTTTGATGGGGGCTTCGAATGACTTGGCCACGGTCACCATCACGTTGGTGCCAAAGACCTAGGGAAGAGGGAAGAGGAATTAAAGAAGAGGGGTGACCGGCAGGCGGCAATCCACCAGACGAAGCGTATTTGCAAGAGAGTCTTGTTTTCTATTGTTCTTCGGAGCTTTCTGGAGTCACGAGCTCTTGTGAAGGTTGAGTAGAGCAAGGAATGGACTGGAGGTTGAGCTTCACAGGCCTCGAGAGTGGAGGTCCTCACATGCCGACCGCCCTCCCCAGTTCATGGTTCCCACATTCCCAATCCATTCCTTTTCCCTGGGCACCACCAAAACTCTTCTCCATTACAACTCAACACCTTTTTTTTTTATCCAGGCCAGGTGACTTTCCAAAGGCAGGTAGGCCCCGACAAGGAGTTGGATTAAGGAGAAGCTCCTGAAAACTATTCATGAGTCGGTGAGTTCTAGTCCCGCCTTAGGCATAACAGCTAACTGGGTGACTTTGGGCCAATCACCAGGAGACGGTGAGTTCTAGTCCTGCCTTAGACATGAAAGCCAACTGGGTGACTTTGGGCCAATCACCAGGAGACAGTGAGTTCTAGTCCCGCCTTTGGCATGAAAGCCAACTGGGTGACTTTGGGCCAATCACCAGGAGTCGGTGAGTTCTAGTCCTGCCTTAGACATGAAAGCCAACTGGGTGACTTTGGGCCAACCACCAGGAGACAGTGAGTTCTAGTTCCACCTCAGGCATGAAAGCCAGCTGGGTGACTTTGGGCCAACCACCAGGAGACGGTGAGTTCTAGTCCCGCCTTTGGCATGAAAGCCAGCTGGGTGACTTTGGGCCAATCACCAGGAGACAGTGAGTTCTAGTCCCGCCTTTGGCATGAAAGCCGACTGGGTGACTTTGGGCCAACCACCAGGAGACGGTGAGTTCTAGTTCCGCTTTAGCCATGAAAGCCAGCTGGGTGACTCTGGGCCAATCACCAGGAGACGGTGAGTTCTAGTTCCGCTTTAGCCATGAAAGCCAGCTGGGTGACTCTGGGCCAATCACCAGGAGACAGTGAGTTCTAGTCCCACCTTAGGCATAAAAGATGGCTGGGTGACTTTGGGCCAATCACCAGGAGACGGTGAGTTCTAGTCCCGCTTTAGGCATAAAAGACAGCTGGGTGACTTTGGGCCAGCTCCTCTTTCTCAGTCCAACCCACCTTACAGGATATTTTTTGTTGTGGGGAAAATGCACCCACCACCTTGAGATGCTTATAAAAATAATGAAAAAGTGGCAGGATGAAAAGCTGATAAGAGAACAAAGGATGTTGCCCGGAGGATCTGCCGAGCCTGGGAACGAACTGCTTACCCAAAAGACATCGTAGACGAAGAGGCCTCCAAGAAGAATGCAACCCGTGCTGACGTTGTTTAAGTGCAGCAGCTCCACCCCGTTGAGAGAGAAGGCCAGGCCAAAGAGGTTGTTGGCAATCCAGTGCTGGAAGGAAAAGGACGACGGTTGTGAGCAGCACTTACAGACCCACAACCCACATCCTTAGTTGGAGAGCAATCCCAGCACTTTGGTTCTGCAGATCTTCCTGTCTGCAGCCTGCCCAGGCTGCCCGGCCTCAGAATAACAAGAGTTGGAAGGGACCTTGGAGGTCTTCTAGTCCAACCCCCTTCTCAAGCAGGAAAACCCTACACCACTTCAGACAAATAGTTCTCCAGTCTCTTCTTAAAAACCTCCAGTGTTGGAAGCACCCACAACTTCGGTTCCACTGGTTAATTGTCCTCGCTGTTAAGGAAGTTTCTCCTTAATTCTAGGTTGCTTCTCTCCTTCATTAATTTCCATCCATTATTCCTTGTCTGGCCTTCATGATGCTTTGGGGGAAAAATTGACCGTCTCCTCTTTGTGGCAGCCCCTCAAATATTGGAAGACCACTCTCACGTTACCTCTATTCCTTCTTTCCATTAGATTAGACCTACCCAGTTCAGCAACCGTTCTTCATATGTTTTAGCCTCCAGTCCCCTAATCCTCTTGGTCTAGAGCCTCAACATCTTTTTTTTTGTATTGTGGTGACCACAACTGGATGCAGAATTCCAGGTGTGGCCTCACCAAGGCCTTATAAAGTGGTATCAACACTTCACGTGATCTTGATTCTATCCCTCTGTTGATGCAGCCTAGAACTGTGTTGGCTTTTTTTGGCAGCTGCAGCCCACGGCTGGCTCAGATTTAAGTGACTGACCAGTAAGACTCCAAGATCCCTCTCACAGTTACTACTGTTGAGCGAGTTATATCACCTGTGCATTTGGTTTTTCTTTCTTTCTTTTTTTTTTAAGTAAAATTTTTATTTTTATAACAACAACAAAACAAACAAACAAAGCCTTCTTTCTGTTCATCAGTGTGTCAGTTAGGTATACATTTCTTTATGCACATAATAACATTACCATACATATTTTACTTATATTTATGATCATTCCAATCAGTATTTTATATCGCATATATCACTTATTATATTAGCGTTGACATTATATTTATTGACTTTCAATAATATATTTCGCATTCATTTTCCTACTCTGTCTCAACATCTTTTTTTATATCGTGGCAACCAAAACTGGACACAATACTCCAAGGGGAAATATCGAGGGATTATAAAGTGCTATTAAACATTCCACCTGCCTCGCCAGCAGGTCAGCCTACCTTCCTCAGCAGGTACCAGACACCTACAACGCTGCTCAGGGCCAGGCAGAAAAGATCCTTGGTGTCAAACTCGTAGTTCACAATCTCTGCAATGAGACAGAAAATGCCATTTTCACGGACACAAGGGTGAGGCGAAGCTGGCCTACCTAAAGACGAAGGAGGCACATAAGGAAGGTGAGGGGTGGAAAAATCAGGGATCTTGTTTAAAAGACCCCCTTGGGAGATAGATAAGAAGCAACTGAATCCCTAAGGTGGAGGTCTCTAAACTTGGCAACTTTAAGACTTGTGGACTTCAACTTCCTCTTGGCAACTTTAAGATTTGTTGAAGTCCACAAGTCTTAAAGTGGCCAAAGTTGGCTGAGGAATTCTGGGAGCTGAAGTCCTCAAGTCTTAAAGTGGCCAAGGTTGGCTGAGGAATTCTGGGAGTTGAAGTCCACAAGCCTTAAAGTGGCCAAGGTTGGCCGAGGAATTCTTGGAGTTGATGTCCTCAAGTTTTAAAGTGGCCAAGGTTGGCTGAGGAATTCTGGGAGTTGATGTCAAGTCTTAAAAAGGCCAAGGTTGGCTGAGGAATTCTGGGAGTTGAAGTCCACAAGTCCTAAAGTTGCTAAAGTTTGGGGACCCCTGCCCTAAGGAAATGAGGGAAAAACATCAGTTGAACCAGATAAAAGGAAGTTGGGCTTGAGCCTATGGGAGACCCCTCCCTCAAATCCCACCAACAGCTGCCAGACTTGTCAATCAACAAGGCAAGAGTAGCTGCCTGACTCCGTCAATTTACAAAGAAAGGGGGAGAGCGAGGAGTTATTATCTTTGAAATATATTTATCAGTATTCAACTCAAGAGGACAATTTATGCATATGTCTGTTTTGGTGTTTTTTTTCTTTCTTTTTCCGAACTTTCTGAGTACAGTTTTGTTGAGTTTTGCTTTTGTACTTTTTTTTCTCTTGTGGGGGGGGGGGGGGTGTTGTATTTTAATGTTTTGAATATAAAAAAATGGAATAACAAAAAGAAAAGAATTTGGGAGATTAAAAAGGGACCTGAAAACCGGCCACACTTCCAGTTTTTATGGATCCAAATTTAGGGGTGTCCGTCGCTCTGGTTGGTATCTGCCCATCTAGTTGTGGAGGACTTGAGTTAAGTATGGATGAGTGTGTGCGCGTGTGTGAGAGAGAGCGTGTATATATGCATGTCAGGGCAAGGTTCCCCTCGCACATCCGTGCTACTCGTTTCCAGCTCTAGGGGGCGCTGCTCATCTCCGTTACAAAGCTGAAGAGCCAGTGCTGTCCAAAGACGTCTCCGTGGTCGTCAGGTGGCCGGCAGGACTAAATGCCGAAGGCGCACAGAACGCTGCTCCCTTCCCGCCAAAGGGGTCCCTATTTTTCTACTTGCATTTTTTACATGCTTTCGAACTGCTAGGTTGGCAGAAGCTGGGACAAGGAACGGGAGCTCCCTCCGTGATGCGACGCTGGGGATTCGAACCGCCAAACTGACAACCTTTCTGATCGAAAAGCTCAGCATCTTAGCCACTGAGCCACCTGCGTCCCTTATGTATGCATGTATGTGTATATAAAGGACAGAATAACGTTATTTGACCAAGTGAGATTGGACACCCAAGGAATTTGTCTCCAGTGCATAAGCTGTCAGAATACATACAACAACAAAGGGATAGGTCATAAATCATAGATACAATCATTAATCATAAGATATAACAATTTATAAAAGATGAGAAGGATAATAGCAATACAGCTGAACTACATGGGTAAATATCCTGTGCTGTGGGGCTTAGGGCAAGGGCAAAAAGGGTGATGGCACAGGGCAAAAAATATCTTCATGTCTTATTGTTTGGCATGCAATGCCAGAAAGGTGGAGAGACAGGCAGACAGATTAGATAGATGGACAGGTATATTAGAGATAGATGGATAGATAGAGATAGATGGATGGACAGATGGATAGAGAGATGGATAGAGATGGATGGATAGATGGATGGATGGATGGAGATGGATGGATGGATGGATATAGATAGATGCGTGGATGGACAGATAGAGATGGATGGATGGACAGATAGAGATGGATGGATGGATGGACGGATAGTGATGGATGGATGGATGGACAGACAGAGATGGATGGATGGATAGATAGATGGATGGATGGATGGATAGAGATGGATGGATGGATGGATAGATAGAGATGGATGGATGGATGGATAGATAGATAGATGGATGGAAGGACAGATAGAGATGGATGGATGGATGGATAGATGGATGGATAAATTATAGAGATAGATGGATGGATAGATTGATAAGATAGATGGATGGACATAGATAAGAGAGATGGATGGACAGATAGATAGATGAATAGATAGAGATAGATGGATGGATGGATAAATTAGAGATGGATGGATGGATGGACAGGCAGGGAGGCAGGCAGGCAGGCAGGCATGGATGGATGGATAGACAGACATAAAGAAATAGTAACTAATGAAGTTTTGCTGCTCTTTTAAATCCACTCATTGGCCCCAATACAACACAGCCAGGAGAGATGCCGAAAGCATTGGTTGTATGGCAGTACACAAGCAGACACACAAGGCAGGATTCACAGAGAAGATTCTCCAAGCTTTGGCTGAAGAAGGGAGCAAACTTACCTTCCTTTGCTTCTCCGGAGCCTTGAGTAAAAAGGAGTTGATACTGCTTGTTGGGAAAGTTGGCTGGGAAAAATTTATTCATCATGGGGCTAAAATGAGACCGGAGGAAGAAGAAGGAAAAGTGGAAAAAAAGAAGGGAAGGATAACATGGTTTTAAAAGGCACAACCCAAGAAGGGCAGCTGTATGGAAGGAAAATCAAAATCCCACAAAAATACCTTTATAAAGCTAAATAAAGGAGTACCGAATAGTTAGAGCAGTGTTTCTCAACCTCAGGCACTTTAAAGTGGGTGGACTTCAATTCCTAGAATTCCCCAGCCAGCATGCAAATAAATTTCAAAATGGCTGGACTTCAACACCCAGAATTCCCCAGTCAGCATGCAAATAAACATTAATATGGATGGACTTCAACTCCCAGAATTCCTCAATCAGCATGCAAATAAATGTTAAGCTGGGTGGACTTCAACTCCCAGAATTCCTTTGTCAGCATGCTAACCTAGCTGAGGTTGTAAAACACAAGTTTAGAAACACGGAAACCTGAAGCCATCAATGATGCAGTAAGATATCTGAGTTAATTTAGCCACTATTTATTAAGAAAATTTATACGGTTGCCCAATTCGCTCCAGGTGACTGTGAGCAGCTTACTGTGGACAATCCCAAATACAAACCCCAGTAAACCCTCCCGGCCCCTCGATGACAATCTAACCAGCCACTGGATGAGCTCTGTATCATTATGGGGTCCCCAGGCCTCCCCCACCCCAGGCAAAACCAGGTCCTTGGGTTTTTTTTAGAGTGTCACGGATAGAGTGTGTTTGCAGGGATGATGTTCCATAGGGAGGGAGCCACCACGCAGAAGGCCCTTCTCCGGGATCCCACCAGATGGTCCTCCTGAAGAGGAAGGGGCCTATAACACCTCCCACCTCCCTGCTCTGGTGGGTAACTGGGAAAGGAGGGGTCCTTCAAATAACCCGGCCTTAAGCCACGGAGGGATTTAAAGGTGACAACCAGCACCTGGAATTGGACCCGGAAGCAAATCGGTACCCAATAAACATTGCTTCTAGAGGGGTTTGGAAGCACCTGAAGGCAGGTCAGGAAGCAATGGGTGGAAACTCATCAAGGAGAGAAGCAACCTAGAACTAAGGAGGAAGGTCCTATCAGTGAGGACAATTAAACCGTGGAACAACTTGCCTCCAGAAACCGTGGGTGCTCCTACACTGGAGGTTTTTAAGAGATGGAACCGCCATTCGTCTGAAATGGTATAGAGTTTCTTGCCTGAGCAGGGGGTTGGACTAAATGACCCTCCAAGGTCCCTTACAACTCCGTTAGTCTGTAGGTCTATAACGGTCTCCTGCTTGAGCGGGAGGTTGGACTAAATGACCCTCCAAGGTCCCTTCCAACTCTGTCATTATGTATTCTATTATTAATTTATAATCAACATTTTGACTTGAAATTCTCCAGAAAAAAAGGAGTTTTAGCCCCATCCCCGCAGCTGGGTCAGAGGATGCAAGGCCGAACACTCCCAAAATTCTGTTCCAGGATTGCCAATAAACAGTTTTCATTAATTTTGTCTGAAATGGTATAGGCCAGGTTTCCTGGGGGTTGGACTAGAAGACTTTCCAGGTCCCTTCCAACTCTGTTGTTCTGTTCTGTTCTGTTCTATTAATCATATAAACTAGACCTCACAAGGTAACCCTTCATTTTCTGGTTGTTAAAGGCACGGCGATGGGTGAACTGAGCAAGTCAACATTGAGCCTTATTTGGCACTTGGGAGATCAAAACGAAGGTTGTTTTGTTTTGTTTTTTTAAACTCTTTTTAAGGGGCTGGGAGTCTTTTGTTTCCAACAGGGAAAGCTGGCCTCAAAAGATGTTGGCAGATGTTCTCCACCCACAGGTAAATATTCTCATTTTGTGTGTAAAGGAGAGGAAGCCCTGTCGCCGGCTGAATGCCCATTTCCCATCTGATAAGGCAGTTAACTATTAAACTGAAGACTGCCCGGATTTTAACCTTTCCTTTATGCGCAATAATCAACCAGGCAGCTTTATTTGCAAATGACGGGGGCCTCCAAAAGTTTTGGCTTGTATTTAAACAGTTGTCCACTTCCGAGATCCCTCTCGCAGTTACTACGATTGAGCGAGGTACCACCTATATACCATCCCTGCGCATTTTGGTTTTTCTTGCCTAAATGTAGAACTTGATTTTTTTGTCACCCTTGAATGTCATTTTATTAGATAACGCCCCATGTTCCAAGTCTATCAAGATCCTTCTGTATCTTAAGCCTTTATCTTCTGGAGCGATGGCTATTCCTGCCAGCTTGGTGTCCTCTGCAAATTTGATGAGTTCCTCATCTATCCCCCTTGTCCAAGTCATTGATGAAGATGTTGAAGAGTCCTGGGCCTAAAACAGAGCCCTGGGAGTACCCCACTGCATCCTTTGTGTTCTTCACAATATATATATATATTGTATATATATTGTGTTCTTCACAATTCTGGTCTTTACCTGATGGTGTGGGACAGGGCGAGGATGCCAAGGACGAAGAAATACATGGAGAGCAGCAGGTTGATATATTCTTGGGAGAAGATCTAAGAAGACAAAACCAAAACCAGGTGAGATGAAACTTTGGGTTTCTCCAACAACACAAACAAAATCGTAAAAAGCACGTCCCCGTTTTCATTTTTTTATATTTTGAGCAAAATCAGCCAGCCAGCTCATGGAAACCTCTTTCCCTTTCCACCAGGACTTTTTTTTTTTTTAAAGGAAAAAAAAAGTATTTATTAGTTAAGTTTACTGTATTGATTAGCCCTTGGGCCATATCAAAGTGCAGAGTTCCAGACACAAATGATGACTAAAACCTGATAAAAACAATTTGAAACGGAATTGGAATAAAATACGATTTAAAATGGAATTGGAATAAAATACAATAATTTAATACACAGGTAAATAGGATAAAATTATATTTCGGTGTGACTCCTATTTATTAGTTCTTTGTATCACTGCTTTTTTTTTTTTTTTACAAATAACTCCAGGCGTTGAAGGTCTCCAACACAAATTCTAGTTAACGAAAGCGCCAAAGCTCCTGTTGGAACGAAAAAACGTTTTGGTAAGAGCTACAGGGAAGAAAAAATTAATAATCCACGTTTCTTTCTTTGTTTTGATTGACTTTAAATACTCACAGGAAAAAAAAAGGAACAAAACGCAGAGATAACTAGGGTAGAAAGGCGTGCAGTATCAAAGGAAAATAAAAGTGTAACAAGTGATTTTTAAAAAGGTGACAAAAATACAGCAGAACAATGAAAACAGAGTTCTAACAGTAATCAGTTTCAATTCTAAATATATTTACCTAATGCAAATGTTATGACAGCATGTGTCTATTTCTATTACGCTTATATAACTATTGTGCTTTTAAAAAAAACCTGCTGTACTTTTGCATTAAAAAGTTGTTTATTCTGTATTATTAGCTTATCCATACAAAGTCAACATTTCTCTCATAGGTGGTGAGTACAGTCAGTTCTCTGATCCATTGATTGATTAAATTTATTTGTTTCCAATGTTGCAATATCAGCCTTCCAGCCATAGTACAGCTAGTCCTTGACTTACAACTAGTCACTTAATGATAGTTCAAAGTTACAGGTAGTCCTCAACTTAGGACCACAATTGAGCCCCAAATCTGTGTTGCTATGTGAGATATTTTGTGAAGTGCGCGTTTGGCCCTGTTTTGGCACCTTTCTTGCCACGGTTGAATCACTGCAGTTGTTGAGCGGGTCACACGGTCGTTAAGTGAATCTGGCTTCCCCACTGACTTTGCTTGTCAGAAGATGATCACATGACCTCGGGCACTACGACCGTCATAAATATGAATGTGTTGCCAAGTGTCTGAATTTTGGACACGTGACTAGAGATGCTGCAACGGTCATAAGCTCAAGATCCAAACTCACTTCGTATCTGCCTTGCTTAGCCACAAATGTTCTGGTCTCACTGATGGTCGTAAGTCAAGTTCCGCCTGCTTTAGTTGGAGACTGAGTCCTCCTTCTAGGCTCAGAGATGCATTCGACAAAGTAGGCCACAACTTACTTCTTGGGAAGCTAGAAAAAAAGTGGGATAGATAGCACCACCACCAGATGGACTCGCAACTGGCTGGCAAACCGTACTCAAGGGGTAGTCCTTAATGGGTCTAAGTCTACATGGAGGGAAGGAAGCAGTGGGGTGCCACAAGGTTCTGTCTTAGGCCCAGGACTCTTCAATATCTTCATTAACGACTGAGATGAGGGAGTAGAAGGGGAACGTACCAAATTTGCAGATGATACTAAGCTGGCAGGAATAGCTAACACCCAAGAAGATAGGCTCAAGATCCAGGTGGATCTTGACAGACTCGAACCCTGGGCCGTATCCAACAAAATGAAATTCAACGTAGAGAAAAGTAAAGTCCTACACTTAAGCAAGAAAACCCAAAGGACACATATAGACTGGGTGAAACCAGGCTCAATAGCAGGAACTATGAGAGGGATCTTGGAGTCTTAGTGGACAACCAGCTAAATAGGAGCCAGCCGTGTGTGGTGGCAGCCAAAAAAGCCAATGCAATCCTAAATTGCATTAACGGAGGGATACAATCGAGATCAAGGGAGGTACTAATACCACTCTGTAAAGCCTGAGTAAGGCCACACCTAGAGTATTGTCCAGTTTTGTTCACCACACTATAAAAAAGGTGTTGAGACTCTAGAAAGAGTGCAGAGAAGAGCAACCAGGATGATGAGGGGGCTGGAAGCTAAAACAAACGAAAAAACGGTTGCAGGAACTGGGCCTGGCTAGTCTAGGGAAGAGAAGGACCAGGGGAGACAGGAGAGCAGCCTTCCAGTGTTTGAGGGGCTGCCACAGAGAGGAGGAAGGGGTCAAGCTATTTTCTAAAGCACCTTTGAAGGCCAGACAAGGAATAATGGATGGAAACTGACCAAGGAGAGATTCAACCTGGAAATAAGGAGAAACTTTCTGACAGTGAGAACAATCAACCCATGGAACAGAAGTTGCCCTCGGAAGTTGTGGGAGCTTCATCCCTGGAGGCTTTCAAGAAGACACTGGACTCCCATCTGTCAGAAATGGTGTAGGGACTCCCGCTTGGGAGGGGGGTTGGACTAGATGACCTACAAGGTCCCTTCCAACTCTGATTACCTGTTATCTGTCATAAGTGTGAAAAATGGTCATAAGTCGCTTTTTTTCAGTGCCGTTGTTGTAACTTTGAACTGTCACGAAATGAAACTGTTGTTGAGTCAAGGACCACCTGTGAGCTTTGCCTCATTTTACGACCTTTCTTGCCACAGTGGTTAAGGGAATCACTGCAGTTGCGACGTTAAGAAAACGGCTGTTAAGTGAATCCAGCTTCCCTGTTGAACTCTGCTCATAAATGCGAGTCAGTTGCCAAGTGTCTGAATTTGGATCATGGGATACAAACGATTGTAAGTGTGAAAAAAACAATGATAAGTCTTTTTTTTTTTCCGTGCTATTGTTGCAACTTCTGTCACTAAATGAGTTGTAAGTCCGGGACTATTTGTGCAGCATTTTAATGTTAGAAAACGTTGTTTTATCATGCTGTGATTTTTCCCACTTTTATGTGACACTCAAGAGGGGCAGCCGATAAATGCAATCAATAAATGAAATAAATGAAATCAATATTTAGCTAAGAGGAAATGGAGCTTTGCGTGCCTCAGTTGACAACCCCAAATGCCAGCCTCTCCGGCCACAGAACCAACACCAAAGGCAAACAAACCCTATTGGCAAAGGATATTTCCAATTTATGCCACTCCTTCCTTGTCTTTTGACAGTCACTCAAAGCCACGTCTTGCATGAGGTTTCACATTCAGGTATTACAAATGATTTAATGCGAGCATTTTCAAGAAATAGTCTTTCTTAAATTTCCTGTTCTGCAGGTTTTTTAATTCCTGCCCCCTGTACATTCAATCTGTTTAGGACCCTAGCAAAAAATAATAATAATAATCTACGGACAAATAATAAAAACAAGATTAAGCCGCCAGCAACTCCTGATTTTACAAGGCTTGGCAAGCTGTTTGCATATGATTTACCTCTATTTCCCTCTGAAAATGAGAACCCATGTGGGTATCCAGACGCTCCTCGAGAAAGCTCATTCTTCTTCCACAGGCTAACATGTGCAGCTGGGCATCCTTAAAATACATCAGAAAAACCAGCTACCTTTTCATTCCCACAATGTATCAGTGGGGGGGGGGGAGAGGGGAATTATGGGAAACAAAAATGGTGGCTGAGGGGGTCCTTGATGCTCTTGGAGTTTGGTGGTTTTCTTGCAGACGTTTCATGAGCCAACTTGGCAATGTCAACCCTCCCACCTTCTAGCACTGATGATGCTACCTAGTTGGGTCGTGAAACGTCTGCAAGATAAACCATCAAGCTCAAAGACCACCACGGAGGACCCCACAGTCATCCTCCTCCTCCCAGCTTCTAGCACTGATGATGCTACCTAGTTGGGTCATGAAACATCTGCAAGATAAACCATCAAGGACCCCCAGTCATCCTCCTCTTCCTCCTTCCCCCTCCCTCTCATCCTCCCTTTCCTCTCCTCCCTTCCTCCTCCTCCTCCCCTTTCTCCTCCTCCTCAGCTCCCTTCTAACACTGATGATGGTCCCTAGTTGGATAAGGAAAAGCTTTGCAAGAAAACCGCCAAGCTCAGAGAGCACCAAGGACCCCAGTTTTCCTCCTCCCCCCTCCTAGCACTGATGATATTCCCTAGTTGGGTCATAAAACGTCTGCAAGAAAAGCACCGTGCTCAGAGACCACCCAGGACCCCACAATCCTCCTCCTTCACCCCACAAACCCACACCTTTTTAGCACGGATGATGTATCCTTGTGGGGTCACGAAACGTCTGCAAGAAAGCAACCAAGCTCAGAGAGCACCAGGGACCCCACAGTTCTCCTCCTTCCTCCTAGCACTGATGATGTTCCTTAGCCAGGTAATGAAACGTCTGCAAGAAAACCACCCAGGGAGCACCCAGGAGGCCACAGTCCTCCTCGTCTTCCCCTTCTACTTCATTCCGCAAAGTCCACACCTGTATAGCACTGAGGATGTTCCCCAGTTGGGTCATGAAACGTCTGCAAGAAAACTATTGACTTGAGGTCACAAATATCACTTCACCCTGGGACACGGCGACCGTCCACAAATAGGAGGATAAAGAGGTGGATCATGTGACCAGGGGGATGCTGGAAAGGTCGTAAGTGTGAATAAGGGACCTAAGCCACTTTCTTTCCCCCCAGGGCTGTTGTAATTCCAAACGGCCGCTGATCCAAACGATCGTAAGTGGAGGGTTTCCTGCACGGTACAGCCGACAACCGTGCCTTGTTTCTTGTGGGGATTCCCAGAAGCAGATTCCAGGCTTACTGACTTCCAGAAAATATCTTTCTAAATACCTGGAGATGCAAACCACCGTCTCACAGGAAATGTGGTTTGCCGATTAGCGACGCTCCCTGGCCTGAAGGCGCAGGCCGCGACTGGCAAACAGGTCGAACAGCGATGCAATCCCAATTCAGTTCAAATACCTCACGGAGGACGGTGAGGCTGCAAAAGGGCTGGAGGGGGGGAGGAAATGGGGACTCCCCCAACCTGGGAAGTGTGGTATTGGCTGGAGGAAGGCACTGGAGAGGTTAAGAAACCGGGAGACTGGGAGTTCTAGTCCCACCTTAGGAATAGAAAACTGGCTGGGGGACTTGGACCGAGCACCAGGAGACGGTGAGTTGTAGTCTCGCTTTAGGCACGAAAGGTGGCTGGGTGACTCTGGGGCGATCACCAGGAGACAGTGAGTCCTAGTCCTGCCTTAGGCATGAAAGCCAGCTGGGTGACTTTGGGCCAATCACCAGG